AAACGTTCATTCAAACCCTACTGTAAAGATTTTGCTTCCAAGCTCTGACTCCTCAATTAGCAGATACAAATTAACCAAACAAACCTCACAGGAAAACACAACCCATCAAATCCACCAACATTAACATCATTGTCCAAAGCTTCTTTTGTTAAAAAAAAAAAAAGCTCCTAAGAAAGGTCAGTTAATTCATCATGATGGATTAGCACTAAAATTGATAAGCATTAGCATTTTTCTCCTTGCTGGATACCTTGACTTTGATGTGACACATATTGAATGAAACATCTCGGGCACAGGCACCAGGCAAGATCTATCTTAATGCAGCCAGGTTGGCAACAGGAGCCCTAATGGTCCTTATCTTAATCTTGTTTAAAAGCATCTTAGATTTCTGAGCAATCTTTTCACCTTCTGATATTCTCTTTTATAGAGTGTTTTTGCTGGGTTTGCTACTGATTTTCACCTAAATGCATTTTTGTTGTATAATATCACCAGTTTTAACAGCCCTAAAAGTGATTTAGGTCTGCAATTTAGTAAATGTGAAGATTAAGCTTATTTTTTTACAAAAAAATCAGTGTGCCATAACTCCAATAATGCCAATAAAATGTGTATGTTTCTGAAAGTTATCCCATTCCTGAGCCATGGCATCACAGCTGGTCATGACAAACACCTAGCAAACATGGGAATATATGTTGTTGTCTTCCCATCCATACATTTCCTTCCAGTGCATGATTCACTCCAGATATACATTTCAAACACTCATTCTTCAATTAAAAATATATTTCTTCAAATCCCTGATTAAGATAAAGGGAAATTTTTCTGCTATTGCTTTTTTTTCCCCCCATTCCCAGTGCCGCTAATAATTCCAAACTGATATCCAATGTAAAGGCCTAACTAAACTCAAGCTCCATCAAATTACCTGGACACAGAGTACTCAGAATTCAGAGGATTGTCTTCACCTTTCCAGACATAAAAATACTTTCTTTTTCACTCATTCCGAAGTTGAAACTTCAATTTATAAAACAGGTTGATCTCCCAAAAAAAAATAAAATCTGCTTAACTTATACTAGTGAGGTCTAGGCCCATGTGTATTAATCAGACTTTGACAGCCTGGAAAAATTCCTTTAAAAGCTGCATTTTTTTCCCAGAGAGGCAGCAATTTCCTGTGAAAAATCTCTCAAAATCAGGTTTGAAATGCAAATGTGCAATATTCTGTGTGATGCTGAAAGACAAAGACCTCGTTTGCCCTGTACTAATGAGCTTATATTATTCTGTGTTTTCAACATATTAATCTCAGACTTCAAGGCAACCCAACCCAGACTAAAAGTAGAAGAATGAGAAAGGGCATCCATAGAAAAATATTGGCAATGTGATTTGGAAATATCATCCTTCAATTGTCTGCAATTTCTATTTATCAATACTTTGGGAGGCTTCCACAAAGAACACCAAACGCGGCGCGTGCGGGGTGACCTTTCAGTGGGACAGAAGGGCAGGAGGGGGAAGGGGTCCAGAGCTGCCCAGAGATCTCTTTGCTCCTTTAGTAAATGTCATTACAAGTCTCTCTATTCTTGCCATTCACATTAGTATTCTCCTAAAAAACCTTCATAACTATTTGTCAGGTCTGGATACGTAAGATCAACTATCTGTACTGCCCAACATTTCACACTAACACTGAAAATTGAAACATGCTCCAGGTAAACTCTTAGATATAGTCTCTTGTGAGATTATCACCTCTGCAGGTAAGTGCATAGCTTTTAAATGAATCTCTAGGCAGCAATTTGCTTTTTCAGTGACTCCATTCCCTGGTCTGCTGTGGTCACCTAACGGTTACTGCCAGGAACTGCACTGGTGGCTCCGGTTCCTACAGACACCAGGGAAGGAACAACTCTCCCTTTGCAGCCCTCTCAGTTAAACAACAACACATGAAGGTTTTGTAAAGAAAAATAAAGAGTTTTATTTCATTTTGAAAAATACTCTCTGTTAAGGAACCTTAGAGGCAAAGGAAACAGGTCTGAAATCTCTACTTCCATTACCTTGGGGTTTTTCATCATCTGATAGGATTTTTTGAGGATATTTTTAGAGAGGTTTTTGTTCTGTTATTTTCAGTATTGTTTTGTCATTAAATATCTTTAATCATAAATGGTTTCTTAAAATGTCACAGCTCTGCAAGCATCACAAGAAAAATTATAATGAATTATAGAGTGATATTGCAGGTTTATATTCCTGTTTCTGCCCATAAATAACACCAAGAACTAACAGAGAAGAAAGCAGAATAGTGGGAGGTACAGATTAGCCATAATTAGATATCTGTTGTCAGGGAAATTAGATATTACAGAGTTTGAAATGGAGCGATTCAATTCCTTTCAGCCAATGCCAGTGAGCAATTCCCCTGACTCCAGAAAAATACCCTCCAATCTCCGACGCAGTGAAATGGAACAAGAAACAAGGGAAGCAGAAACTAACTGGATGAATTCTGCATTCCAACAGCACAGAAAGAACATGCAAAGGCATCTTTGCTGCTGAGCTATATACAGAAAGTTTCCTTCAAGGAATCAATGTCAGAAAACAATCTAAGGAAAAAGTGCAGATCAGTTTGGCTATATTTGGTAGAACTAATCAAAACAGTTGTACTCATTAACTAGGACACAGACACTGCTGAAAACAACTATGAACATGTTTGTTCATGAAAACAAACCTGAATCAAGCCAATATGAGATCCAAGGGATAACAACATAACCACATTGTGTTATTACAATACAGTTATTACATGAATGTTTCTATATGTTGGTGCATAAAGCAAAAGCTTCGAGCATTTGTGTGGTTTCAGAGGAGGAATATGAATTAAGATTTCCTTACCTTATAGGATGGTAAAAAGCACAAAATTCCTTGGCCAACTGTTTGGCACACTGAGAGCAGAAGTGCTCCCACCTCATCCTGGAACTCAAAGGTCTCTGTGTGCTGGAACGTGGCACACAACTTCCTCCCATTGGGGCCTACTCCGACAGTGCCAACCCAGACCTGGGGGGGAAAAGGTCATTCTGAACTGTGACACAAACTGCAAGAATTACACTAGGTTAAATAACAAAGAAGTGTGAAGGAAATGTTGAGATACTTCGAAACAAACTGATTCCAGCACTTCAAAACCGAAGAGAAAGTGCATTAGCTGATCTGAGATGGCTGTTACCAACATACCATAATTTCAACCTTTCCAGGGGAGAATGTGTCTAAAAATTGCCTCTTTTTACGTTGAAAATTGTGCTTCCCAAGTGCATTAATCCAAGCAATTGGATTCTGTGCATTTCCTTGTCCTTCTGGAATGGGTTAGTCACCATTTTTAGTTGCCATGTATTGTGCCTTGCCCCATGGCAGCATTGCAGCTGAGGAGAGGGAGCAGAGCTTACCTGGGACTTCCTAATAACATGATTTGCCTCCAACTGAATGGAAAACTTCACACCAAGCTCTGAGGAAAATGAATCCATGGGAGAGAGAGTACCCGAGGTCAGAACAATTGTCCTAACCTCATTTAAGTCAGAAAACGCCTAGTGGGGGAAAGAGAAGGAATTTAGAAAATCAATATAATCACTTCAAGATTTGATAAGTGTTTATATTACATATGATACAGATACTCAAATCACTAGATGCCTCCTCCTCCTGCTTACCACAGCAGGGTTCAGGCACCAGAAACTGAGCATGTGGACAAGGGTTTTGTGCCTGGAACTCTTTTTGTGCTTGGGCCGTGTGAAGAAGGGACTTGCATCCAAATCATCAGGTTGGTTTTCATTCATCCAAGTGTAAGTTTGTTGCAGAGCAACTCTGTAATCATCTGCAAACCTAGAGAGAGAGAGAAAGAGCAGTGAAAACTACAACTGAGCAATCAAATCGTGAGCATTAAGCTCATGTAAGAGAGTGTTGTTACAGTGCATTTATAATTTGAATACAAAAATTTATACTTTCTGAAAAGACAGTGAAACTTCACAGTAATTAATGTCTTAAAATAAGGTTTACATCAGTAATTTTTAGTGACTTCTGGCATGAGTAGCCAAGATACAAAAATTGGCAAATAAGTGCTGTCCAGCCAAACAAAACGATGCACATGTCACTTGGCAAGTTTACCACTAACCTTCAGATAAATGTCTGAATTTATGCATTAAAAGTATAATCTGGCAGCATTTGAATTCTTCCCACTTCAACGGATTTTCCAAAGCTTTCCCAAATGTCAGCTTTGCTCAGAAGGCAAACACTGCAACCAAGGTGCTCCCAAAGGCAAGAGGAGTTAGGCACAGCAGCTGAGGTAAGCCCAGCACCAAATTCAGGCTCTGCCCCTGCACTGACCTGCTGTGCTGCTTGAAGAGACACAGCAGGACCATGAAGAGCCCTTTGAGCACGATCTGTGTGCCAGGGCTCACCACTGGCACCTCCACCATCTCCTCTCGGCCATGCACACACATCTTCTCTTCTTTTTCCAGGACAGTAGCAAGGTGTTTCTGCAAGAGGCAAATTCCAAGTTAACAACATTCTCAGTGGCTTCTCAAAACCAAAGTTAATACAGATACAGGACTGGCTGCTCATTGTTTTAACAGTTCAGCTGAGACACCTACAAAGTCACACTTTGTAGAAAAAAGGCCAAAAGGAAAAGGGGGGAAAAGGCAAAAGATAAAAAAATAAAGGAGGAAAAAGGACATAGGAAAAAAAGGATATAGAAATAATTGCACATTGCACTTTGATTCTCCCCAAATTCCACAGCTCCAGTGGATCACTCCTTTTCACCAGGGCTCATTTTCAGACAACTCCTCTCTATAACACACAACATTACCTGCAAAATGGGGAAAGAAATCCCAGTGATTCCCATGTTGTGTAAGAAGGAGAGCATTTCTTTTCCACTCCACACCTTACAAGAAGTTTCATACCCTCTCTCGACCAGCTGACTGGAGCTCTCCTGTAACCAGCTGAAACAGAAAATAGAAACCACTTCAGCACTGATTTTAGAGATTTAGACCCTTTGTGTGTACAAACCAAACCTCAAAAACTGCACCAGATTTCTGTGATAAATATTTTAGTGCATCTCCGTAGAGAGATTCTGCTTTGCCTTTATGCCAATTTTTCCCTGTTGAAATAACTTCTATGGAACTGCTCGTGATGCAGCTCATGGAATTGAGCAGAAAAGTTCTCCCTACATGTTTATACTTTATCATCATATAATATCCTTACTATAAAGAAAAATGAAATATAATCCCTTATGGTATGTGAGGCTCATTGAAGACAGATTTCTGCTGTACTTTTAAAGCCACTCAACTGATACAAGTTGATTTATCATCCCTATTCATTGCTGACTTCCCTGTAAGGACAAATCTTGAGGCATGAAATGAGCACTTTTGATATTCACACAAGGAAGGGAAAGTGGGGCAATAAAAAGGGCATATTTAATGCAGTACATACAGAACAGACTAATACTCCAGTACTACAGGTATTGGTAACTCTGCTCCAATTTGAAGATTAAGCAGATCTATAATTGCACGTAAGTGTGATAGGACTTGCTAAAAAACATGAGCTAAACACACAGATCATCTCATTTGTGGCACAGCTAAAATTTGCTCTAACTCAACGTGTCTTGTATCATCCCTGCAGTACCCTGAGCCCTTGCCTAGAAAAGCAGCAGCTTTTACCCTCCCAGGGAATGCCAGAGCTGTCTGTTCCACCAGCTAAGCAGGAGGCATCAAAAGGACAGCTGTCATTTCTCCAACAGGTCAAAATATTTACCTGCAAAATCAGTTCATCATTATCAACTAAAGCAACAAGGCTTAGTGACTGTTTCAGTTCCAGATTTCCTGCCCTGTCACTGCAAATAATCTGATCCACGGAACAATTAAAGTAAAACTTCCCTTCTGCCAGGGTAAAAGCAAACGAATCCCAAAATGCTGCCACAACAATCACTTCTTTGGCTACAATTTGCTGTATCTTGTAAGGAATGATGATCACTAGCACAGGCAGAACTTCACCACCGTAGTACTCTGCCCCATTTCCTCAAATCAAGAAGACCTGGAACTGAAATTAGGAAAAGGCCACTCTGACAGAAAAGAAACAGATTTACAGTGGATGAAACACTCCAGGAAATGTCAAACTTCTGTTTCCCTGTTAGGAACTTCAAACACCATCACATACTTTTCAAACAGACATGCTGTAAATGTAAATACAAACCTATCACAACAGCCTTCCTAATGCCAAAGTAGCAGTATCCCCCAAAATCTCAAATAAATTCCATCTGACATTAAAGCATCTACTTGAAACACTTGCTAAAGTATTTTTAGAGCAAAGCAGGAAGCATAAATAAAACGAGCTCGATTCCCAGAAAGGTATCTATGGCTTTGAAGTGAAAATTGGTGTGTGCAACATTTCCAGGAAGAGATTGAATGGATGTTACAAACATGCCTTCAATTCCAGAAAGCAATATTTGCTGCTTCCCTCACTACCAGAAAATCCCACTGTTGACACAGCTTATTCCATTGAACAAAGTGATTTGTCCTGCAAAAATCTGCATCTCATCAGCACAGCCTGCCAGCACAGCTCCACTGCTGCATCTTCAAATTCCTCACAAAGGTCACTTTAGCACCTCTGTGGCACTAAGCCCATGCTTAAGTGCTTTCTGGAATGAGGGCCCAGGATCTTTAGAACTGAAATTAGATTTTTTTTTTTTCTAATTACCCCTGCATTTGGCAAAGCCATGTCACAATGCAGCAGCATTTTCCCCATTACTGGCTATTTACACCCAGTCTTCTGCTTTCCAACAACTGCTTTTCATGCTGTTGGCAGATTTGCCAAGACAATCAACCTTAGTTTTCCTGATAAGGTTAAAAAGCTTGAGGCAATCAACTCTCCAGCCATGCTGTTCTTATTTTTGACTAGAATTTAACATTTGAAATAGCCAAGGTAGGAGAATTAGCTTCTGCAAAGCAGAAAAAGTCACTTGTGACTGACACACACATTGACTCTCAGAACAGAGAGAGGATGGGAAAATGGTGAACCTCTTGCTGTGGTGTGCTCCAAGGCTATTGCACCAACCACTAATGCAACCAAAGGATGATATGACACACACTAAATCAGAACTCAGTTCACTACAAAGCCACTTGTATCATTAGTCACTTTTTCCTGCCAACGGTGTTGCTCCAGGTTTCATTAGCAGTGTGTTCCTGAGCTCTTTCAGTCCCTGGGTGTCTCCAAAGGCTTCAAAAACTAAGAGCTACAGAGCTGAAACCCAAATTCTCCAGCAGCCACACACTCTTCTGATGTTGTTTCAACTTTCTCATGTTTCTACTCCGCCCCAAATATTTTGCTCTTGATCCCTTGTTGTTTCCTCCTGGGCTTCTATCCATTTGCTGATGTTCCATCCCCTCTCATGATTTGCAACTTATGCTCAAGCTCTTCCCCTTCCAAGGAGCTGTTCCACAGGGCAAACAAAGGGCATGAGTGAGAAATTCACTTTCAGCTATGACGAATTCAATAGATTCTAATCTGATTCCAAGAACAGATTCCAACCTGTTCCAAACAGTTCTTGTCCAAGGCTCTGGAAACTCTTTATAAATGTGAACTAATTAATCCTTTGACAAAATAATGCTGCTGCTTACCAAACAAGCAAACAGAAGCATGTGAAAGATAAAAATTACTAATCTTCAGTAAAAGTTTCATACAGAACTTGATGAACTAGGCCAGTAAAGCCCCAGAAAGATCAGCACATCATTCAGGAGCATAACATACTGTTCAAAACAAAATTTCAGTGTTTCCTTTCAACTAACCCATTATATTTTTTAAAAACAGATCCAAACTCTCTGGATTCCTCCAAAGAACAAAAATCAGATGACAGAACAGTTGGAAGCACAGCTCTGTGGCATTTTCTCTGATGTAAATCACAGCAGCAAAAGGAATCTAAAAGCAGTTTTAAACAAAGGAATGAACAAGAGTTGCCTTACTTTATCAAGGAGCAGCACACAGCTCGCAGGGGCTCATGATCCTTCTGCCTGATGTTGTTAGTGACCATGTAATCGAGCTCATCTCGAGCAGCTCTGAGCTGACTTTCTGTAACACTGTAACTCACTGACTCCCGAGCACAGTCCTCAATGTTATGGGCCTCATCCAAAATGACTACTTGGCCTTTCAGGTGAATGTCCATCTGAAAAAGAACACCAGGATCTAGTAAAACAGTGAAAGAAATGAAAGAGAAACAGCAACAAACAGGGTCCCATTAAAAAAGGCATATTCTGTATCATGGTGCAACAGGAAATTTTCATGTTTGGATCCAATTTCCATAACCTCTTAAACCACAACTGACCCAGGAGTTATTTCGTAGACAATATTTTGGATATAAATTAAATCTCATTTGACCATAGCCACGTTTTCAACTTCCTTTTCACTTCAGGTCTTGCAGCCTCACCAATGTACTTACGCTCTCTCGTATCTGTGGGTCGAGGAGGTAATTGTAAGGACAGAACACAATGTCTGCTCCCACCATGAGCTCTCTGGCTGCGAAGTAAGCACAGGCACGAAGCTGCCTGCCCAGGCTCACCAGGTCTTCAATGTCCCAGGCCTGGTACACCCCATGTGCAGCCTGTAGGGCAAAGTGCTCACTGAGTTTATGCATACTGTGGTAGTAAGCACAGGACTTGCCCTAAAAGCAAATAAGTGCAGAGAGTTAGTGGTTACAAGAAGTAATGAAAATCAAATAAGCTTAAAGCCTCCAAGTTGTTACATGCATTTGACTATTTCTTGGAAGCATTTCTAACAGCTACTTTTTTATGACAGGTGATAACAAAAACCAGGTCATGTCAGAAAGAAAACAGGCAAATCCATGATCCTAATAGGTACATCAGTACAGAACAGATCTTTCTTCTTCACCTAAAAATGCAAAGACAATTTAAGTCTTACTAAAACATTAACCTAGAAGTCATAACAATATTAGCAAAACAAATATTGCTCCCATCAGCACAAGTTTTGCAGTATTGTTACCAAGTATCAACATTTTCTAACCACTGCTTCACTTAACAAATTACCAGGAGGCATTTCACCAGCACGGTATAAAGAAGCAAAAACTGTTACTCATTCCAGCTGTTCAACTGCCTTAAATTTAACTCGCTGACTGCTCGTTTTCTGAAACAAAATGACTCACATGTTTTCCTTCCAGCAATTCCTGGCACAGTTCATTCCTGTTGCCAGCACTGTTGGACACCTTTGGGTGAATGCAGGTGTAATCCCTGCTGGAGAGGATGGTCATGGGCACAGAGGCATAGGCTGTTCTCTTCAGCTCACGGCTGATCTGGGTGATTTGTTTGTGTGTTCGTGTGCCAAAAAATATTTTGGGAACAGACAGCTTATCCCCGTTTTCTTTCTTCTTTGTGTGACTGGGATCTTTCTCAGGGTCTTTTCCAGAGGAACAAGAACACACAGTGCAAGGGCCAGAAGACTGCAAACCAAGACAAAAAAAAAAGAGATGAACCAAATCTCACTGTGAGATGAACGTGCTAAATCTGCATATGGTCTGGTTAGGAAATGCCCTCTGGGATAGCTTGAGGGAGCTGTGCAATTATCAGGCTGTTCCATCACCAGGTTGGCCTATTACACTGCAAAAATTCATGTCACAGCACCATGTCCTCATGCCTGAAAACCTTCTAGCAGTCATGACTTTAGCATAACCCAATCACAGAGAGAGTTATTATTCCAGTGGAATATTTACACATGTGAATAACGCAGACAAACTTCTCACGTTTAGGCATCGGCATAAGGGACACTCCTGTCACAGAATTTCAATCAAGAGAATTTGGTACCAGATACACAAAATACTGAGAGCATTTTCCTTAGAGCAAGCAGGAGAAATCTAGAGTTTAAATGGTAAAACCAACTGCCTCACTCTGTTACGTGTTCCACAGTCTCCATTAGAAACATGTTTGCTGTGCCATTATGCCAAAGGCATCTAGTAACTATGAGAATAAAAGACACACGGGGAATAATTGTAAACAGAGCTTAATCCTGTAAAACATTGGTTAAGAGCCTTATTTTTCTTCCCTAGAAGCACCATAACAAAATGCTGGAACAACTGCCATGAAATCTCCATAACTGATGTGAAGAGACACAGAGAAAACTTCTGAGTAACCATGTCCACACACACCTCCCATCAAAAATGATGAGGAGTTCTAGTGGTATTGGGTTCTCAGGTGATAGTGCAGGTAACAACATGTAGCTGCCTGCTCAAATGCTCCTTGCTCCCCTTTCCATTGTGTCAGTAAGATTATCCATGGCAAACAAACGCTCAGCCGTGCCCTGTGTTACACCACAGCTCTGGGATCAAGCTGTCTCTTAGCCTCCACTCCCAGGGAAAGCAAGTTCGTGTTACCCTCAGTCCCACTCAGCCTTGTCCACCATTAAATATTACAATACATGATAGAGAGCAGGTAAATGTAACCCTCTGGAGCTGCCACTCACTGGGATAAAAGGTTCACTGATGTGCCAAATAAACAGGCCCTCAAAGCAGCTAAAGTTACACCCATGCTGGAATTGTTACATTGCCCTCTCAGGTTGCAGTAACAGCAGATTTCATTACCCTGTGCTGCCACATTAAATAGCCACTTCCAAATATCCTGCCTTCTATATGGAATAATTACTTATTCACTCGGAGGATAAAAAGAAGAGTTATGAATGGAGCTCTTGTCAACAGCCAAGCAGGAAACAGCTGACATATGGTATATGTTACATATGTGCAATGCTCAGCTCATGCAAATGGGACCTTGATATTTCTATCAGCTCCATTCGGGTTTGCTCTGGGAAATAATGAAAACCACATTACCAAGCTAACAATTAGTACAACCAAAGCAGTGACTGGGTAGGGACTTTAAGAACAGGACTAGCTTTTAAGGTGAATTCAAGTCAGATTGTGTTTTCAGAGATAAAAAGAAGACACAGAAGGCCAAGATGATACTTTACCACTAATACTTCACTGCTGTTGCTAAGCTTCACATTTAGTTTGCCAAATAAAAATAACAGCAGAATATTAGGATCAATCAGGCAGCTGTTTTGTGAAAGTTCTTAGAACAACAGGAAAATGCAGTTCAAATTAAGACTCTTCCATAATGGGCCTAAACCACCAGATACATTTCCCTTTTATGAAAAGAATGAAAAGTGTTCTGAAATGTAAGACTTATAAATTACAATATTTTACAGGTGGCCTTAAAAGTTTGGCTTAAAAGATTTGGAATTGGTATAATACTGGCATTAAGAAGCACTTTAGCCATTATTCCAGTACTAAAATGTTACCTTTGAAAAAGGTTTTATGTAAAAAAAAAAAAAACCAAACCCACAGTATTGAGAAAGTTGTAAACTTAGACTGATTTTATAGTAACTAGTTGAGTATAAAACTGCCTGCAGTAGTCAGAGCATTTCTGAAAGCCACAGACACCATTAGCCCCAAACATTAATAAATCAAACCTTTTTAGAAGGTCCTTCATAATGAAGAGAAACTTCAGGAAAATGGTTAAAACATAGTTTAAGAGTTGAGTTCTTCATGTTCTTTGCATGTGACTCAAGTGTATCAATCTGCACTTGAATTCTTGAAATACATCTTAACATTTTATTAACAACAAATTATTTTGATCCTGTATTGCTATAAAAAGAATCTACTGTGGATATCACATAGCAAAAGCCAATGTGGTGTTCCTGTCCCATTCCTGCAGGAGCAGGAAAGGGAACAACACTCCAGGGGAACAAAGTGGTAGCTCCAACATGGAAGTTTTCTGGGCAGTGTTGCCTCAGAGTACATGTTTTTCTACTCATACCACAGAGATACTGATAAAACTCTAATAACATTAGAAAACGTTTCAATTTCATAGAATTTATCTATGAAGGAATTAGAGGAAAGGCTGAGTAGAAATAATTCCTGAGAACAGAACTGTATTTCTTAACACCCTCTGGCTTCAGAACTAAACCTGTTTTCAGCTGTTGGAATCTGGAATAAAGACTTTCATTTGGGAGAAGGGAAAAAAAAGATCCTCCTCTACTTTCTGCAGTATTTAATCAGAAACACCCAGGAACAGATGCTGCTAGAGATCAGATACCAGACTATATGGACCTTAGGCTAATGCAGCTTGTTTTTACTTCTGTCAGGGGGAGATAAACCAGCCTATCACATCAATATTTATATGGCAAAAACGTGGAAGTCCGATTAAAATAGGAATAATGAAGTCCACCAGCCTGTCCTGTGTGTAAAATAGAGCTAAACAAACACTGAGGCTATGATCTTTGAAACACAAAGAGGTAAGAGGAGTTCTTCATATCTCCATCTACATTTCCTGGGTACAAAGCCATCTAAATGCTGCAGCAGTGAATGCCTCTTGTGTGAAATATCACACAAGCACAATCTAGGAAGATATCAGCAGTGACATTACCAGAGCTTTTCAACTGTTCTTTAGAAGCTCTCAAAAAGCTCAGTATTCTGCTGCTGCTGCTGCAGCCTCTTGATTAAAGCACACAAAGCAGCTGTTTATCCTCCCCCAGTCACCAGCAGGTGAACCCGGTTCAATATTTATCACAGGCTTTCACAGATCACTGCTAACCAAGCAAACGTTTTAATTAAGCTGGAACTTGCTTCAAAG